TTAATTAAGATTGAAATAATGAAGCGTAGATGAGCTCGATATATACCGGGGGGGAGGAGGTTAATTCGTCCTTCTCCGCGGCCGAGCAAGTCGAACAAAAATACACCACTCGAACGTATGAGAAACTTTTCATAAAATCCACATCGCCCGATTTCAATTGAAATTTTCACGGAAAACAAACGACGACTTTTCCCACAATATCACCCCAGCGCGCCTAATGTAAATTTTCCTCTTTTTTTTTTTTTTTTTTTTTTGCCGGAACGAAATATCCACGAATGTCGGAATCGAATCAGCGCATCGAGGCAACGGACAAAGGGGAAAATATCGTCGAACAAGGAGGCCGAGTGAGTTTATAGAGAATACATAAAAGCGGCCTGTTTTTTTAATCGAGAAAGTCTGGCGATTCTCCCAGCCGGCCAAAAATTCAGTAGAAATTCGATCGTGCTAAAATATGCCGAAGTTAATGTAGCGGTGGATTAATGAAATTTTTTCCCCCTCAAACTCGTGTCTATAGTATAGCGGAACCATTCCACATCCGAACAGACAAAACTGTTTCGTTCGATGGAATTTTCGGATAATAGACCAACTATCCTTTTCATATCAAATTAAATGTATCCAGATTGAAAATCTAGCAGAATCGTCTGTTTGTATTTCGATATTTATGAAAGAATAGAAGGAAAAAAGGAATGTTTCGACTCTTAGTTTAGAATCTTCTTGAGTTATTGAGTAACATAATTCTTTTAAATGGAAATAACTTTATAGAATTACATGCCTTTTCTCCTTCAAACGTGCGTGTGCTGTATACACACATAATCGTAACACAAATTATCGTAAAATATCTTCTTGGTCATCAGGTTTAGGATCAATGCGACTTAATATTTTTTTTTACTTGAAATTTGTATTATATATAATACTCATACTTCGTTGTATATTTATAAATATTTATTTCATATGTCATATTCATGTTATATACATGAAATGTATATTTATAAATATCAATATACAGGTACATTCCTTGTAAATATTAAACGATCTTCATTACGTGCAAAGATTGGAAAAATGTAATTATGTCTAATTAATTTAATTATGTTTTATCTTGCTAATTTTCATTCGATGATACACCACAACTGTTAGATACGAGACAATTATATCAGAACTCGAAGCAAAACTCAGTCGCACAAAGGAAGACCTCGAGGACGCTTTGAAAGCGAGATTCATAGTGAAAGAGAAGTACAAGAGGTAAAGAGCACATCAGACTCCTGCAAATCTCTGATCTGCAATTGAAAACATAGTTACGTCAACTGAATTCTTATTTTACTCAGGTTGCTGGAAAACGCGAGAACGCAGGCTCGCAGGGAGAACGAATTGTTGCAGGAAAACATCGTGCGAATTTGTACCTCCGTTTTCGAGAATTTCGGTCCTCGTTCGATGGATCGGAGAAACACTGCCTGCTATCAAATTAAATCACACAGGAAATTGAACTGTCGCCAAAGAATTACGAATAAATTACGTAGAAAGGTATTTCCAATGCAAAATATCGTTGAAACGAATAATGTACGTAAAAGAAAAATTATATCTAAAGATTTAAACTTATATTAGCTTTTGATAATTTTTTAGATGAAGATCAACTTCATTCTTTTAAATGAAACCATATAACCTTTAATCCATTAATAAGTACATCTAGACATTACAAAAGAATATTGATCTATTTCTATAAAGAAATCATCAGCTTATTTTAACTATGATTCTGTACAATCTATCATATCGATCATGTTTCCCCTATAGCTACCATTTGATTTTTTTCAACTGTTCAAGACTCCATTTTAGTTACTTTTTTCATCTAAATAATGATACCTGTAGACTTGTTCATAATGTATAATATATATAATATATATACTATAATAAATTATAAATAATGTAATACATAATATAAATTATAATTACTAATAATTTATAATATAATTGTATGTATATTACATAGTGTATTATATTACTTGTAATTTATTATACATAGTACAAATATGTAAATATTTATAACATATAGCAATATATGATATATTATATATATTATATATATTATACAATTATTATTGTTCTAAGTTATATAATATATATATATATATTATATATTATTAATATATATATTACATATTATTACATTGTGATATAATAGATAGGATAATATAGTAGAGAATAAATTAAATTCTACGTCAAAATGATGCAGTAACAGGCTCATTTCATTTGCTCCTCTTTTATCATATTATATATATTATATATTATTATTATATATTATTATTATATATAAATTATATATTATATTATTTTCGTATTATACATATTATATATTATTATTATTAATATATATATTATATATATTATTACATTATGATATAATAGATAGGATAATACAGTAGAGAATAAATAAATTAAATTCTATGTCAAAATGATGCAGTAACAGGCTCATTTCATTTGCTCCTCTTTTATCTAGCTACGAACGGCAATGACGAAATCGAACAAACTGAAACGGAAATTAGCCATGACTCGGAAAAAGCTGAGAAGCAAATCTGAGGAGTACGAGTCGATCAGCAAATGCTTCGACCAGCTGAAGCAAGGAATGGAGGCTACCGAAACGAATCTGAACAATCTAATAAGCGAGAATCTCTCCTTGAGGAGGAAGATAGACGATACGCGGGACTGGTTGGAGCACAACGTAGGAAAACAACACTATACTGGGCACTTTCCAGACGCGTGCAAGAGCAGAGAGTTGGCGAATCTGAAGAAAAAAGTCGAGGAGGATTCAGCGACCATTGCTCAACTCAGAAACAAGTACATTTGACATTTGTATTAATGAGAACAGGCTTGTTAGTGCTCGCAATTTACTGAAAGCTTCAAGTTTAATCTTTGACTGCGCAATTGTTTTTAATCCTATACTATAACAGAATTACACAAGTGTAACGCTAACTTTGTGCTACAAGACTGATTAATTTAATTTTTAAACGTGTAACTTTGTTTTATAACACGACGCATGAAACTATGATTGACTTTCAGTTCAAAATAGAGAATTTTCCCCTGTTATTGAGATTACAATGTCTCTCTGAATATTAACGTTTTGTTTTTGACAAAATAATCAAGGTTTGATCATTTAGATTAGTACGACTCGAATCAGCAAACGCCAACAAGGGATTTTTACTGAACAGTTACAAAGCCCAGCTGACCGATTTAACTAAAGAGAAGAATGAATTGTTATCCAAAGTGAATAGTTTGGAGAACGAAATCGGCAATACTCGAAACAGTAATTCACAGTTAAGAGCAAAAGTATGTATACTACTTCTTCAAACATTTTTTTTTTTTTAAATTGCTGACCATGCAATTTGTTGACTACTCGATTTTAGTTTCGAATGAGTGCAGTTTATTCCATTAGATTCATTAACCTCTTGTTTCTAGTTGATTAATTTAATTTATTAAATTTAATTTATTGGATTCATTTAATTTATTCCATTAGATTTCAGTTTTGAACAACGAGAAAGATAGATTACTCTCGGACAACGAGAAATCCAAAACGCACATAAAGGAAAAGGTTAGAAACTATGTATTAAATAGCTTAATAATTCTTAGATAAATAACATTTCTATAGAATTGTTTGATCAATGTTAGATAGAAATACAGTGTGCCAAAAAATGTGAAGAAACTGTGCAACTGGAAACTGAGACCATTAAAAATAAATATGAGGAGACTATTAAGTTTATGGAAACGAAATTGTTGGCCACCAAATCTCAAAATGTCGAATACTTGAACGCTATCAAAGTAAATGCGACATTAGCATTATTGGTCCGTTCGATAAAGAGACGACTTTTACAATTAGGCCGTTTATTAATATTTTATTAATTTTATTGAATTGTAAGAACCGTTGAAAGACGTCGCTTTTAAATTAGGAATTTCTGATGAAAGTCTACGAACAGCGAAATGATCGTGAAGCGCAAAAATCAAACGAAAGCGAGTCAGGTGAAAAGGAAACCCACGAAACTATCTGCAATATTTTGAATATGACACCAGATGAATTGTCCGGATTTATTAATGGAAAGAATACCAAAAATTCGGTAATTTATTGCTGGAAAAAAAGAAATAACATTTGAACGTATTAAATAATATTAAAAAAAAAAAAAAAAACTTTAATTATCTAGGATAACCCATGGATAGTCGAACTAAATCGAATAGTTTCGACGAATCAGTTTTCTAAAGATCTATCAAAGTTTTTATTGAGAAAGATGACAAAGAAGACAAAGATGTAACGAAGGATCAGAGGAAGATGAGGTTCTTCTCAAAATCGTTTCCCTGTATTTTAGCAAACAAAGTGTACAATGCAACATAATTTTGTTAGTTCTCGATATAATTTAGTAACAAATACAGTTCGTCTTTTTCTAAAAATTTCGTAACATGGTAAAACTGTCTGGAAACCGTCACCAATCCCCGTGATACGTAAGTAAGTACTTTGGCTCTTTACTGTAAACTATATTGAATTTAACCTTGAGACTTTATATTCGACGAGGAGAGATCAGTACAGAAAAATCTCGTTAAAAGAATTCTGTGTTAAAAAAAAAATATTAATCGCACCACGAGTGACGTATAATGATAAATAAGTAAGGGGAAATAACGAAAAGTCCGTAAATCACAAATACACTTGATTATAAAAATATCTACTTTGAAAGAGCTATGCCTGCGACTTCAGCTTCAATAATATTCGACTTGACTGTTACAAGGAAAGCTCGACAACTGGAAAATTCAGGGAAATCTACAAATTTGCACGAATGTCACTTGTGTGCTGAAAAGTATTCATGAAACTGTATAAGATACAGGAAAAGAAGTTAAATTGAAAGTGGTATCGTGGTGATGAGAAATTTTCGAAAGTTTTTTAAAGAAAAATTTTATATTGTACAATGTGCAATAATACAACTTTGAATTTTTACTTTAAGTAAACTACGAGTGATTTTAAATTTATAAATTAAAAATTATATTCGCGTCAGAATATAATCTTTACAAATCAGGAACGTTTAGAAATCCTGTCTTCATACAGTTTCGTGAATATTTTGGATAATATAAATTGTAAAATAGCCTTAAAATATTCTTTCTTATACTTTATATTATCCAAAAAAAAAAAAAATTAAGAAAGAAGTTAATATTATTCTAGTTTGCTGGAAGATTTGAAATAAAAAAGAAAAGATGTACAAATGCTTAATTTAAAGAAACAGAGAAATCCTAGAAGAAATTAATATTGTTTTAGGTCCGGTTTACACAGTAAACGTTAAAACATTATTTACTATTAAGACATCCCTTGTTTTCTTTCCTGTTTGTCTTTATATGAAAATTTCAAACATTTTCGAATTTTCCAATTTGCAAACTATCCTTGTTGTTGTTAGAATGTTTGCGATTGTCTGTCAGAATTCAGTAGAAAGCAAGTGAACGGCATCCAGGATCCTTCTCGATCGAGTCCGCTACTAAACGAAATTCATCCGACGATTTTAATTAATCGCTTTGCAGCTCGCTCGAGCCAGTCGCGTCCGGTGCCTTCTGCAACTGGGCGCTTTGGAATCTCTCGTACCCGTTACCCTCGCCAAAGATCTTCCTTCCAGAGATTCTCTCGTTATCTTTCACGCTCACTTCCGTCCCGATCTGTACCGGCCAGGGCAGCTTTCCGTCGTTCCTCACCGAGATCTGATTGGCCAACTTCCTGTCCCCGTTTTGATCATACGGGTCGTTATTCCGAAGATTCTCCAGCGTCGCTTTACGACGGCTCTCCTCCTTATCTTCGGCATAAGGATAAGGCCTCTCGACGAAGCTCGATCTCTTCGAGTAGTTGTCGTAACCATCGTAAAGGTGTCTGTATCGATATCTGTTGGGGTCAACGTTCCCCGGGATACGTTTGTAACTTCCATCTCTAGAAACTGGCACGGTTCTAGTCCCGTCGTACGGTCTAGGATAGTTTCTCAGATCCACCGGTTTCCTCACGATTTCCGGAAGTGTGGCGTAGTAGATGATCCTCTTGGGTTTAGGCGTGGGCCTGCTCCGACCGTAGAGATCCAAATCCTCGTCCCTGTATCGATCGTAATAGTACGAATAATCGTTTGGTGGGATGCGCATGTAGTAGTCTCTTTCTATACGGTAGCGATCGGGATAATAGTAATTGTAGCCACGACGATACGCAGGAGGAGGATCGTAGTCTCGGTCCCTGACGACGCTTCTGTACCACGGGACGTCGTAGTCGTCGTAACCTCTCGTAACTGGCATGTCTCTCGCTTCTCGATACTCGTAACTTCTTCTATGCGGACTGGTCACGAAATCGGCACGCGGAGCGTGGTAACCTCTTGCGTTTGGCAATTCCTCGTCGTCCACGGTTTGCTGGATCATCTGATCCAAGCCAGTTCTGTGGGAGAACTCGATAGACAGTGGTTGCGTGGACCAGTTCTCCGGCGAGCTTAAACGTACCTCTCGAACGTTCTTACTGCTAGATATTTGTTCCAGCTTCGTTTCGTTCTCGGTGTCGCGGCGTCCCCTCGACACAGTTTTCACTGCCTCGTCCTTGGACGGATTTTTGTCATCTTCTGGACGTGATACGGTCTTCGCTATCCCTGTTCCAAGGATCTTGTCCTCGACTTTCGCGTTGTTCGTCTCGTACGAGTCTTCGAAGATTGGCTCCAATCGATCGTGGTGCTTCTGGTTAAACGCAGAGCGTGTTTCGGATGTTCGAACGGTATTTGGTTGGTGTTGGAGTTTCTTCGGATCGCTTTGAGTGATTTCTAAAGGGCTGAGATGACCGACGCCGCTCACGCTGCGAACTTCGAACGCAGAAGAGTCGAGCCGCGGCCACGATGGGTGATTCCAATAATCGGTCGCGTACGGAAGAATCTGCCATGCTTTGCCGATCCCCGCTGCGCCGGTTTCCATCAGCAGGTACAACAACGGCGATATTTGAAACAACAGCAGCCGCATTTTCATCTGTCCGAAAAAAGTATAATTGAGATGAAATTGTTGGTTAAAATTGAAATTAAGAAAGAACAACTATCTAAAATTAGAAATTACTGTCTATTTTATTACTCGATTGTATCTGCTTATCTGAAAAGATATAATTAAAATAAAATT